GCCTGCCGTGGCCGCGCGCCCCTGCCCTCCAGCCTGCCCACAAGCTGCTGGAAACCGCGGCTACGCTCCTGGAGTCAACAGGGTGCCTGTTTTCGTCCAGAGCACGGAGACCTTCGCGGTGGTAAGCGCCGGGGGAGAGGCCAGCCAGCGCAGAGCTCCCTGCACGGCGTCCCAGCACGGCTCGAGGATTCAGTGCCAAAGATGCTGCTTCCTGGTAGCTTACGCTAGGTCTGACGGACGGGACCTGCGAGGGGCGGGCTCAGGCCCTCCCTGCCGAAGGGGACCCGGCTCCGTGCGTGGTGCTGTGGACCTGCATCCTCCAGGACCCCCCCACCCAATGCAGATGGGGACGGACAAGCTGCCGCCGTGCAGGCGATGATGATCTCTGCTCCAGGGGACCGTACCTGGTTCTGCCCGTTTCGGGATCCACGACTCGCCTGATGACACTCTGCCTCGCGTCCCATTCTTCCTTCGTCATTGGCTTCATAGCCTGGATTCGGGATTTTTGCTCGTCTGTCAAAACTGGAACGCGTCAGTTAGTAAGAGCCTCGCCAGCTCCTGCCCGAGGGGCACAGCGCCGCGTCCAACCGCCCCACGCGTGGCCCTGGTTCCCCAGCGGTGCTCGCAGAGCCGCAATCCACCACGCAGAGCGACGTCAGCTCCATGTCGTTAGAGGCAGCACCGGCTCTGCCAGGCTGTCACTGCCAACCATGTCCTTTCACGTGGCCTCTTTGTTCCCAGCTCACATTTATAAACTCGATCTAAACCTTTCAAAAATTAACCTGTGACTGTGGCGCCTCATGTTCACTCAGTGCGCCGGAAGAAGGCCAAGGTATGTAGGAGGGAGGAGAGTCGGGGTTTCCCTCCGTGTGCAGCCCTGCTACCCCTGGACACCTCACGCGGACCCCCGTAAGCGGCGACGCACGCGGGGCTTTCCCCAGCGCGAGGCTTTTCTGCCCCAGCCTAAGCAGTAGGGAAACGGGGCGTTACCTGGCCCAGAGTCCACCAGCGCCTCCTTCTGCCACTGCTCCAGTGAGGGGCCGGGCACCGCTTCCCCCGTGGCTCGCTCTTCCTTAGCCCCCTCCTTCGATTTCTTCTTCACTTTCTTTTTTCTCCTTTTCTTCTTCCTCTTTTTGTCTTTCTGTTTCACTTGCTTCTTTTTGCTGTGTCGCTTCTTCTTTGGTTTGACGTCACTGTCGCTGGAGTCGTCAGAAGAGGAGCTGGAGGACGTCGAAGACGAGGAGGAGCTGGAGGAGGAAGATGTTGTCCCAGAAGAAGACGTACTCGCCTTCCTCTTCTTTTTGGCCTTTCCGTCCTTCTTCTTCTCTGCAATGCCCGAGAAGAGTTTGAGCGGAGCAGCAGCGGCCCTGCAGCCGCGGAGACGCTGCTCACCCTCCGTGTGTCACACTGCCCCTCTCTCCCAGCCTGGTTTCCCTCTTGCTTGAGTAACGAAGCCCCCTAAACGCCCGGGCAAAGCCACCCGGTGCTGAGAAGGCACCGAGTTAGCTGAAAGCAGGGATCCTCTCTCTCGCCCGGCCGGGGCCCTCGCTGGACACCTGCCCCGGGCGACGCGGGGGACAGGGCGGCCTCGGCAGCCCCTACCTTCCCGAGACCCGGCGCTCCGCGTCCTGGCGGGGGAGGGGGCGGGCCGCGGGGGGGGC